CATCTTGATAAATGGACGATGATAGTATTTCACGAAATTTAGCAATTTTTGGCCCGAAGTGCAACCGAATCAAATATATCATACGACGCAGTTCTATGGGTCGCTTGTTATTGTCACACTATTTCAAAAACAATTTAATTTGCGTTTTAAAATAAACTCATACCATAGCTAATAAATATACTGACAATGGGGAATAATTAGTGAAGGCCATAATAATATCATTATACATAAGTGTTCTTTTGCACAAATCCCGCCAGCCATATTACTACAGTATATACACTACTTCTTTTTGAAGTATTACGATTAAAATAGGGTATTCGGGTTTTTTTTTGGACCACCCAATATATTAGACAGACACCATCTATATCGTTATTACAGAATTAAACACGATTTAAAAGACACAGTAAGACTTTAGTTTCAGATGGATGATTGTCAATTTTGTTTTTAAAAATTATAACCAGATTATTAAAATTAGAACCTCCTTCTGCGTGTCTTTAAAAAAAATCCTTTTGAACTTTAAACTCAGGACGAGTTTCATGATTTATTGATGAAATAATAAGTTGGAATATCTGAGGTGATTTTGGTTACGGTGATATGTACTAGATATGCTTCATAGTTATGTTACTTCAAGTTTGTGAATATTAAAGTTTCTGTGGTTAACCGCATACAAACTATGTATCAAAGGCATGGTCAGGTGTGGACGACGAAATGTTTTGGAAAAGTTGGAGCCGGGCAAACAGTTGACATGAAAGTCAATGGCTAAATTGATGGTGGTCTGCACACGTCTCACCATTACAGTTATTTCCCTTGAACAATATATGCTAAGAAAACTGCCAAACACAAATCCTTTCTTTGCTGTAAAATTGTATTGGTACCTTGTTTATGTTACGAAAAAAGCGCCCTTGGCCATACCATACATAATAAATAATATACCTAGTAACAATAATCAGTAAAGAGGAAGAAGATGCATACTAATACTACAATTTCGGGAATGATCTGCAGCAAAGTGTTCCACAAAGAGATTTTGAATATATTTTCGATTTTCAGTAGTTTTAGCATGAAAACAGCAGGGATCCACACATATACTTGCACCTGGCAATATTCACACCCCTCGTATTTCGTATTTCAGATGTAATCACAAAAACATTTTTTTTTGTGTTACCAATTACCATAAGGTAATAGTGTGATAATCGCTAACATAATTAATGTTTATTAAATTGATAATTCGAAGAGTATTCTTGATAACGTTAAAGATACTACTCTTTGACATGTCAGTTTTAATTACAGTATTATTTTAGGTTAATCCTGTTATTTGATTTTCCTTAAATAACGGAATTGACAAAAAGTAACTAGGTTAGATCCGTTACTATGTGCAATAGCTGGCATATCAGTACTATATGGTAATGTATATTAAAGCTGCAATTTCATATTTTTAAGTTATATTTTTTAAATTTATTAAAATAAAGCCTTAAAATAGATGGTATCCATAAACCGTCGTACCTTGTTAAAGAATAATATTATTAATACTATAAGTCACTATTGCCAGCTGAGAAATTGGCAAAAATATCATTTTCAACTTCAAATTCCAACGTTTGAAGGTAGCTAATGCATGGTGGCAATAGGAAAACAAGGGAGGTAATTGTGTTATTATTTCCTGTAGCAATGATTTTTAAGGGTGGGAAATAATGCCCATGGTCGTATAATAGTGAGTTGATAACCACTTGAGCAAAAGACATAGAAATAATTATGTTTTGACTTTCTTAGAAAATATGAAATTATCGCTTTAAAGAATAGAGAATCCTCTGAAGTCTGTTATATACGAAGGGAAATTACACTTCTAAGATATGATGAAGTAAATTTATTGTGTTGACTAGAGGTAAAACCCCATTCCATTTTATTCAAGATTATTGGCTTCAGTTTGCATGATTTCTATACGTTTACGTGTATTACGCCGTCGCCACAGTCCTCCTGTATGTCCACACCTCACGTCCGTTCACATTTTGTTTGTGGACAAAAGTTTTATCCGATTTTGACGAAACATAAAATATATGTTTATATCCCAAAGATCTCGGTTCTTTTGATATTGGTACGTATCGGGCAGTATTTTCGATAAATCGCGTTGTTAGCTTGTGGACCCTCTAAAGGTAAAATTTTTATCCTATTTTAATGAAACTTAAAATGGTTCCTTTCGATATTCGTGCATATCGGACCGTAACTTCCTGGATCATGGCTTCTGATTGTATAAAAAATCACATTTCTTTTAGCTGATTTTAAAAACCGTTCAGATATATCTTACACCATAATTACGAATGAGTTCGATTTTGGTGCGCACCGGGACCCACAATTCTAATCTTATTTAGATGAAACTGGAAATATTAATGCGCAACAGAGCTGGGATGAGTTTAATTTGGGCATTCTCGAGTTATTCCCCGTTCTGGCCGTGATAAAGACTATAGTCTTGTGGCCGTGATAAAGACTATAGTCTTGTGGCCGTGATAAAGACTATAGTCTTTAACATGTTTTTATTTCAAATTTGGTTTGAAGCATTTGGGTCATGAGAGGATGAACCATGTCGATAAATAGCAGTCCGCGACCCTTTGTTATGCCCCCTTAGCTGAACACATTTTAAATACCACAGAGGCCACAGTTTTCAACGCATTTATTTAATATTTGATGTGTACAATTCGGGTCATGGGAGGAAGAACCATACTCCGTTCGTGAAAATCTTGTGAACGCGATGTGAAGCACTGGGGCAATGAGAGGATGAGCCCTGTTGATTTTCCCTGTCTTCCGCCTATCTATTGCAAAATTTGGGCGTATCTTGCATAGCAAAAGCTTGTTAAAATTGAAAATGGCATATATCATTTGACATTTTAATCATTTGCCATAATAATTACTGTATAAAAATGCCCTGATCTGAATAGTCATGAAAAGGTTATATCAAATTCATTGGTAATTAAATCTTTCAACTATATGCTTGCTTCTGTTAAAATGCCATCACTGTTGCACGTTTTGTTTGTCAAAGTCCATAACTAAAAACTTTATTATTGTAAATTTAGCTTTACAATACTATTCACAATAATAAAAGTGGCTATTAAATAATATGCCAATCACGCGAGGAACGTTAGTATCTGGTAATCATCGTTAGTATCTGGTGATCCATCCACCAGATATTAAATTTTGATTTGTAAACGTGTCGAAAAACTAAATATATATATAAGAGTCACTATAGCAAGGAATAAGGGAGCCGTTTTAATGGTATATATTAATAATTGATTCTTTTGACATTCTATATTTACATGTACATAATGATCTCTTAGAGACTACGTCAAAACTACACGGAAAACTGGATTGTAAACTACACTGTCCTCTAGCCAACTTTCTATTATCACAATGTTCTGCCAAGAAGAGTTCTTTATATGTCAGACACTTAAATTTATTCCCATAATCTACAACAATACGCAACACTGCATACCAGTATAGACAAACTGATAAGTCCAGAAGTTCACGTGATCTGAACGCGGGCTAAAATATCAGAAGATACTGTGTAACAAAACTTAAAGGAAACTCAATTAACATGTGATATTAACCCAATTGCTATATTTATGCCTTTTTGTTAACCATTTATTGGTACCCGTGTTACTCTGGAGCTTATTGTGTTAATATACGTTAGTTAATCCAGCCCTTAATCTTGTTACCATCTCCTTACGATACTTTTATATATAACGTTTCAATCAATGTACTAATCCGAATATTACAATGAATCCATTATGGCATAAACTGGCATACCAGAAGATGGTGACCGCCGTTGATATTTGAGTGTGGGATTATTGTAATTCATTTCAAGGTGTCATACTAAGCTGTCATTGACAGGCTGTAAGTCTTAGACTTTGTAGCAAATTTATTGATTTCTGAATAGCAATGAAAAAGAATATACCAAGACCAAACGGAAGAGGAATTTTCTCGCTAATTGAAAGGATTTTCCTTAATTCTATATGCGATTAATGTTAATTTTCAATATGCTGTGACACTGTCAACAAAATATGTTGTTGTTACACTGTTATCTATAGACTGGCACCGATGTTATGAGGTTTGTTGACATATATAATTATAAAGAGATCGGAAATGTCAATCCAAATGATGAAAGAACTTAGTGTGAGTCTAAATGGATTTATCCACTCATCCTGCCGACTAGAATTATAAAGACTCATAGAACAAATATAACGCACTTCTGTCCCAAGTTTGTCTTTGGTGGAAAGTAAATGAAATGGCGTTTAACGACGTCCTACTGCGCTGCTCCAGTGGCATTGATGGTTAAAAAAAAAAAAAATTAAAACCACCGCTTTCCTTCTAAAATTCTATGGATACCGCATCTGGTACTGGTCATTGCTTATATCTAGTTAGCTCATTTACAAAATAAAAATTTACGCTACTGGAAAATCCATTATCCCCAAAATAATTTAAACATCCATAACCATGGATTGTCTAAACAATGCCCATTTTTATTAACGACCTGTCTTCGTAGTGGAATCTTGATTTTAAAGCAATAATACTGGAGTACAAATCCCGATCTAATGATTTCCCACGTGTAAGCAGAAAGCAATGGCTTGGTTGTGTAATGAAAATCATTTATCTAATTTTATGCATCGTCATAATAACAACTAAGGGTTTATCAGACTGGCCATCAAATATGGCGTCATTTCCTTCGGCCTGCCTAAAACCATCAAAATTTGATTAACTTATTTAACGATACGGAAAGTTCATGCCAAAATCGTGTCCCCTGTCACGCCTAGAACTGGCCAAGTTTGTAATACGTGACCACCTGTTGCGAAGTAATTGTCATACAAGTGAAATCTTGGTTATCATATATATATATATATATATATATATATATATAATATAGCTTAAATGTGTATGATAGTGATCGATAATAAACTATTGTCCTGGGGCCTTTATGGGGCTGCGTATTCACAGCTTTGTTTTTAGTAATGATCGTTATTATACCCAGCTTTTGTTACACGACAAGTCAACAACGTTAATCGACAGGTGACACTCGGGACTGAGTAGCCGACTATAACAATCTGTCAGAACATTTATAATATATTATTGGCACAGACGAACTATTCCGCCATTGTTTTTCAAGTTAGCAACTTAATCGTACGGTGGTGTATTAAATCCCTTAATCTATTTTATTGGCGGGTATAAACTGAATATATTGTAGTGTGTGATAATACTAGCAGTCAACACGGGCCTCTGTACCGTTAATCATTAACAGTCTTGCATTTAGCGAAGAAAGTAGAAACGTGTTCAGGGACTTAGGAACGTCGACAGCATGGTGAGTAATAATGTTTCAATTGGAAATTTCATCCATAGTTATACCCTACGCACTTTCACGAGCTTGTATTTAAATTGTGTGTAGTTAAACTTATTAGAACTTCGTTTCGTACATTCCAGAAAGTTTGATTTTCAATCTACATGCTTTAACAACGGATGAGACATGTATGCCAGCTACCATAGCTTGCCATTTCATCTGTGCTTACACATGTAGAACGAGCATACCTATATGTTGAGTTATATATGATACTATCTATCTAAATGTGTATTTTACATGCACAATGCGTTTGTAATAAGAACCCTTGAAAAAAGAGACCATTCTAACAACAAAGCGGGGATGATAGCATCATAAAGTATTTCTGCACACCCATGATATGAAATAATAATTGTTCTACATGTATATATAAAATGTCTAGGAATTATTATTACAAACAAGCCTTCTTTTAAATCGTTCTTCGAGATACATTATTGTGAGGATTAGATCTATTTGGTAAGGCCAACTTCAAGTTTGGTCAAGTAGGGCTAGCGCTAATCCCGACCCTAACCCTGGACCTAGCCCCAATAACCGTAACCTACAATCTCGCCAGCAAATACGTGCCCCAACCTTATTTACACAGCTACCTTGACAAAAATTGAGCTGGCCTTAACAAATAGTTTTAGCCTTACTGTGAGTCTTGGAGTTTTCATTGATATCGAAAAAATGAGATATAATTATGTAGTCTTTACGGAAGACATTGCGTATGAACTATGATTCGAAGGAATACAAATCGGTGTACGACATAATAAAAGTTAATATTCTGTATCGAACGCATAACAGAAAAATCTTAAATTGAATAGCTGTACACAGTACCATATGTCGTCTGTTATTTTGTATGAAATATTAATTTCATATCGATCGCGACTATAAGAGTCGAAATTAACCGAATTTTTCTATGGCTTGTAATTGAACAGAGTGTATGCGTTAAGACACATAGGAAACAACCCATCATCCAAAAGACACGTTTCAAATATATAATAACCCGCGTGTCAGTGACATAATTTAAAATTCTAATATCGAAACATTTAAAGAGGGATATTCAATTTGCAGGTATCCACCGATAGCGGGAAAATACTCCGACTTGACCTCATCCATACGTGCCTGTTCACGCTTTCAAAATTTGAGAGAAATCTACCAAGCTATCGCTTTAATGAAATCTCGCGCAAAACACTTTACTCTAAGTAGGTCATTACTTGGATTTTCGGTAATTAAGAGATTCTAATTAGGTTATTGTGAATACGATGTTGTTTCATAATTGATAACATTTATTTTCGTGGTGGGAGTGATAACGGTTCTTTAAGATTCCCTTTCAATATGTACATATATTGGTAAATAGTAGGACAGTATGTTCTGTTGATTGCTATCATATGAATTCACTAGAAACAACAGATAGACAGTTGCCTCAAAAATGGATGCCATTATTATGGCATGACCAATGTCTTATTGGTTGAACGAATGTTTTTTTGTTGATACAATTATCAATTATCCCGTTCATCTGATGATTTTAAACCTAAGATCATTATCCATGCAAATAGATACGTTTTTCTAATTTGAAACTAGCTTTACATTTTCATCTGTAACGCGGAAACTTTTTGTAATAAATGGAATTTAATTTTGTTTTTCTTGCATAAATCGCGGATTTATTTTCCTTCTCAAGACCTCCATTTTTTCTAAGTATATAATTACAGTCGTAAATACTTGAAACCCGAAATAAACACGATGGCTGTGTGCGATAAATACCGTATTTATTAACCGTTGTACACTAATAATATGGCTGGCAACCGTCAATAAAGACAGTCTTGAATTGTGTGGAATTTCGTGTAGAGCATAATAATAATTAGAGTTAAACAGATTTCACATGGTGAGAGTATATATATATAACCTTTCTGTTTTTGATCATATATTACTAGTTCTTATATAATATGCCACTGTTACATGTGTTATAATATAAATAGATCCTTTAGTTGACCGAAAACCTCTTTACCTTATCACAATGTTTATAATATCCTAGGACTATATAAACACCTGATAACTGCGACTATTCCTATATATATCTGAGTAGCTCCAGGTATCATTTTATTGCATGCTTAGTCTCAGTCACTATTGCATGCTAAAACTAGAGATAAACACCCTTGTGTTTTAATCAAATATAAAATAATCATATAATCTGAGCCCCTATGTATACTCTCATCGGAACATTTATAGGAATGTTTTATTGTAGATCCGTCCCGATTTCAAACATTCTATTGCTGCACAATAAAATACCATAGATGTTCTTATCAGAGCGAAAATATAAAATGTTTTACAAGTTGTCGTTCCTCCGTGGATCGTGGTTTAGCAGATATATTCATTTGATATTTAAAAAAATGTTTTTCGTGAAAGATTATATTAACAGCCCAGTATGAAGCAGTTGAAACTTTTATTCGGCGGTTCAAGCCCCGCGATTAAATATAGAGTTTAAGACAATATACATTTAAATATACTTCATTTTTTAAAAGAAATACAAAAAACATTTTGTACAAAAAAAAACAAAAAAAACCATCGACTGATTTTGTTTCAAGCTTTGCATTGATTTCACGTCGACATCTTTCTAAAGTAATAATAATTTTGATGTCTTTTTGTGCAAGCCAGCCCATTCGCCATAGCTGTATTTTTCACACTCGCATATGCTTAGTTCCACAGCTTTTACATTAGAATAGTAGACATTCTTGACTTTAGACTGTGCCTTTAAAGAATCATATTGTAAAATGGCATGTTTTCCAAAAAAAAACCCCAAAAAACAACAAAACAATGGAACGTCAACGAAGCAAGCCATGCATTCTGCTTTAAAAAAGTTCATCTACGACTCAGGCTTTGAATTTTGGCATGAAAACTGACATGCTACATATTCCAATATTATATATAGAATATTGGGCATTGAAAACTTTTGATATAATAATTATTAGTTGCCAATAAAAGCAATCTAAATACAGGAAACAATTCACGCTTGAAGCTGTGAATTTCTTCGCTCACCATTTCTTTATCAGAGCGATGGCGTCAGTCATATGATATGCGCAATATTTCTTGTGTAAAAGTTAGTATTTTCTGTTTTATGTTAGAATATATCGCGAAGAAACAGTGTGATAACAACTATTGATTTTTTTATTTACAGGCAGACAATCTGAATGAAGAACAAATTGCCGGTAAGTGTGAGGTAGACCTTAAGGGGCTACTGTTCTCTTTCAAACCGCGACATTGAATTAAGTAAGCCTGTATTGCCATGGTACGACTTGCTAATACTACCCCTTGTTGATAATAAATTTAATAGAGGTAGGGGAGGTTGTAGTTGTATCAGTATAAATAATAGATTACATCAGACTAATGCATGTAAAACGCTGTGTTAGTCTGTAAATCTCCTCTCATTCATCATCATAGAGAAATGAACTGTGATTAGCCATATTATGGTCATTGCTATACATCGTAAAATTAGACGTGGTCTCTATATTCTACCCACTTTTACTTAGTACTTACATACCATCATTTCTTTCCATCCAAGTCTCGGGAATATAATCAGCATAATGGTCAAAACACGCTAATACACACAGCAGCCTAACATGTCCAAGACACGACCAGTAGCCTACGGGAAGATCTAACAGTAACACTAACATCCAAAATATCAAACAGAAAGCGACAAAGCAAAATGATGCATTTGGTGCCTAAATTTAACTAAAGATTAATACAAAAAGGTTAGCTGCTACTCTTTCTATATTATACAGATTACCTCCAATATACACTTTAAAATACACAGCAATAAATGTAGAGAGATCGGGGAGTTTGTTTAATCAGATAGTTAAATTAATTACATGCAGGTGATATCACCACGGTGTTAACAGGGTCGGATTGAGATCGTTATAGAATATGCACCCCAAGCACCGAATGGATCATAGTGCACGGTGGAAGAGGACTTTAACAGGGCCGGATTTAGACTTTTATAGACCCCGTGCACCGAATCGATTATAGTGCACGGTGGAAGTGGACGTTAACAGAGTCGGATTTAGACCTTTATGGACCCCAAACACCGAATCGGTTATAGTTCACTTTGGAAGTGGGCGTTAACAGGGTCGGATTTAGATTGTTATAGACCCCGGGCACCGAATCGATTATAGGGCACGGTGGAAGTGGGCGTTAACAGGGCAGGATTTAGACTTTTATAGACCCTATAGCACCGAATTGATTATAGTGCACCCATTTTTGTGTAGCTAAAAAAAACCCAGACAATCAATGCTAACTAAATTTGTATCTTTCAAAATGAAACAAAACTTTCATGTTTACTGGAATTGAAATTGGTTTTTTGTGTAGATTTTCTGATTGAATGACAGAATTAAAATATTTGATATGTTCAGCTGTACCATAGTAAATCCGGCAGTAGAATATCCTGTCTCGTGCACTTCTTTCCTTGGCGTCCCAAGATCGCGCTCATATCTTTTAATGTTAATCTGGGACTGGCTAATTCCCATACACACACGTTAAAGGACGATATTGGTGTCAGTCATTATCACATATGGGATAGAACTGGTTAAACACATTCCAAATATAATTTTAACACAGAGATCATTGCTACGATAGATGCGAAATGCCGGTTTCAACAATCATACCATTAAGTAGCTATATCCCGTTTTAGATAACTTAATATTATTTCTAAGACCTTAATCCCAGGTCATAGTTTTGTAGCCTCCATTTGTGACTGAAAGGAATACTGTTCGCGGGCCTTAGGAAGAACTCTTGCTTGTAGTAACCTATTTTGGCGTTTGAAAAAAAAAATCTTTGTAAGTAATTCGCGGAGGTTTAAAGGCTGGAGATTTATGATTACGTCATTATTACTAAAGTTCACGCGTGTTTCCTTATTTCAAAATAACATTTAAGATGATGGAGATTTTGCGATAACTTATTAATTAAAGCATCTCAAATTTTAGGCATTTCATAATTTGAAAGGTCAGGAATAGACAGCAGGTTGTAGCCAGATGAAACTGGTCCTCTGTTGGTTTGTGTCTCTTTAAATATGCTTTATGTAAGAGCTAAATCTGCCCTTTTTTTCTAGCTTCAAATGTTGTATAAGTTATTATTTAGACATGTTTTCACTTCCCAGACCTATAATCATCTGTATAGGACATCGGGTCGTTTAGATATTAAATGGATTAGAACCTCTTGCCATTTAATAATTTGGCGAAAAAATGGACAATCGAAACTTTGTTTATTATCGAGATTATCTCCTGAAACTTAAAACACTCATAACTTTGCTCATAATAAAGTAATTAGACTAAAATTTTCAATGTATTCATTTCTGGTTCTCTGTTTTCGAACTATTATAGCAAGAACGACCAGCTCTTTATCTAAATATTACATAACGCATTCTTTAATGTAGGTATATCTGAACTAACGAATGCAGTTATAAGCTAACTTTTCGAGTTTTATATTAACAACAGCCACTAACAACACACCAGTAATATTTAGAACAAGTATGTATTTGTTTGTGAGGATATCACATAGTATTTTATGACCCTTGGGGATCAATATAATAATACCTGAATGAACAAAACCGATCATGGAATTTATAACAAGCCTAACAATTATCTCTTATGATAATAGGGTCAGCCATTAGCTTAGGAGAAAATGTGAAAATTGGATTAGTGATCTGCCTATTTCTTAATGACATCGGGTCGTTATTGGATACTAATTAATTGTATAAGTAAGAGAATTGTTTGTCATTCCACCGCTTTGTATCGGCTCCTCTCAACTGTATGATGATTAATTGTTGATGTCAGCGATATGATCATTTATGACAATAGTTGATTTTCGATATTAGATGAGAGTTATTGAATCGACGTGTCATCACTCTGACTAATATCATGTGATGAAATAAAATATTATAGTTTGAATTCTCTAAACAGCCACGGACTTGGCTTTCAATAAAACCAGGTTTAACGATGAATAACATTTTTCCACAAAGAAACTTGATTCGTATTGTCGTGTATAAAGGAATTGGAGATTATTGAATCACGGTAGTTCAAACGATGTAACCATAATTAAATCATATATCCATTGTTGAATCATAATGTCAAATAGATTGAAAGTTTTGTTGAATGTGGTGTGCATGAAAGATATAGCCATGGTTATTGGAACAACGATAGAATCATCCATTATTGAATAGCGATATACCCATCCATTATTGAATAGCGATATACCCATTGTTGAATATTTATGTCAGCGATATATCGGGTGTTAAATATTGATGTCAACGTTATATTTATTGTTGTTTATTATGTCAATGACAAATCTACGATTGAATATTGATGCCAATGACATATCTGTTGTTGAATATTAATGTCCATTGTTGAATATTGATGTCACACTACATGTATGCTGTTAAATATTGATGTCAATAATATATCCGTTGTTGAATATTGATGTCAATGATATATCCATTCGTTGAATATTGATGTCAAGGATATATCCATTGTTGAATATTGATGTCAAGGATATGTCTGTAGTGGAATATTGGTATCAAGGATATGTCCATTCGTTGAATATTGATGTCAAGGATATGTCTGTAGTGGAATATTGGTATCAAGGATATGTCTTAAGTGGAATATTGATATCAAGGATATGTTTATTGTTCAATATTGATATCAAGGATATGTTGAATATTGATATCAAGGATATGTTTATTGTTCAATATTGATATCAATAACATATCTACTGTTGAATAGGAATGTGAACGAAATAATCATTATTATTAAATAGGGATATTGTTGAGGATATATCCATGTTAAAACGTCCTAGCTGGATAAGGAGATCAACATAAAAGCCCTTGATGAATAACATTTATGAAGATATGAAGATATTTAGACATAATATTTTAATCAGTATGGTAATGATGAAACAAATTATTGAATTATCATTCCAATAATATGATTATTATTGAATATGAATGTCCATTTATTAATACTATTAAATTATGGCGACTCGTCTGTGACGTTTAATTGGGGAAAATTAGATTAAAATTACCCATAATAAAATCTTGATTATAAAATAATTGAAATTGAACTCATACAATTTTGAATTAACGGACTGGTTTACTTGGTAAGATAAAACCACAATTCCAACCAATAAATGAATGCGTGAGAGTTGATTTGAGACATTAACAGCTGTCAGGCGCTGATCAAGGGGGTGGGGTGTCTACTGGGCCCCGGGCTAGAAATGGTTGGAAATTGTCAGTACAGCACTTCGATAGAGAGATCTGTAATTTCTTGCCCGACCCCCACCACCACCCTTCCCTCCCCAAACACCCTTTTGCAGGAAATCCTGGATCCGCATCTGTTTGTGCTTAAGAATCATATTCGAACATTATTTTAAATACCACATTAATATCACTGGAGAAAGCTATTTGGAATCAGTTTTTAAATGTTGGAAACTGTTAGTGTCTTATCACTGTTTAATCAGTATAACACTACACTAATAATTAACTAATTACACGTAAAGCAATGAACGTGAAATAAAAACTTGAAGAATGTGAAATAATCAAATAGACAGAGTGAAAAAGTATCGTAGTGAGACTTAGACTAAAAGACTAAAAATTTTAACGGCAAAACTAGATAAATCCAAATACCAGTAAACACAATTTGCTTAAAGCCCCGACATGCCAGGATAAAATTTGAATAATTATATAGACATGTAGTTTTAAAACCGCGCGCAAAGTACTTTGGTAAAGACCATTTAGATCCAAAAATTATCCATATGGATCAATTCTGTCTTAAGTTATAGTTATAGTCATTGCTTTGTATAGATAAATTAAACAATTATGATTCTGCTATATGTTTAATCCTCTACATTAATTATATAATAACAAGTTTTTACATTGGAGTAATACTAACTGTTGTTTTACTTCTCTCAATTGTACCTTTAATGCAATACCGTCTTCATTAGCCCAGATCGGAGCAGAACAGTAAGACGTTAAACCCCATTTAATTTCATTTCATTTAATGCAATACAATGTAGACTTTTCTCATATGGAAAATGAAATTAGTTCCATAAGAAATTGAATATGATTGGGATTGTGGAACGCACAGAGAAGGAATTTGAAGTGGTTTACATCATGCTGAACATAGAAATAATTCGATGAACATTAAAAGTCCCACCAGGAAAA